GACTTCAGGGAGAGGAAGGCTGCGCACGGGACCTTCTCTGGTTTCACGCAGTAGAAGGCCTCCTGGTCCCGCTCGTCTACATACTCACAGAGCTCTGCCTTGGCATCCATGGTGAAGCCACATTCCGTGAGGACGGACGATGTGCCATTTAGAAATTTGCCCGTGAAAGTGACTTTGTCGTAGCCTTTCTTCCTCGCTGCCCACAGCGCAGAAACCGCCTCGCTGGGGTGGATCAGCAAGAGCGAGACCTTGACATCACCCTCCCAAAAGAGGGTGAAATTGGCCAGGTACGTCCCGTTCCCATAGTCCTTGATCAGTCCGGACGCTGCGGCTTTCAGACCCGGGGAATAGATCCTCGCGCGTAAGAAGTCGCCTCCGTACTCCTTCCTCTTCCCCAAGTGGTCGAACAAGTCCAGCCGAACCAGCAAGTGCTCCCCAACACAGTAAGAGTCTTTCGGGCTCACAAGGGTGGCTTTGCTGCTCTTGGCACTCGTGGTGGTAAGCACGTCAGTGAATGTGACGCTGGGCATCCGCCGGTCCAGTTTGGCAAGGATGCTTTTAACATCACTTGCCTTGCCTTCGTCCGTTGGCTGAACCGTGTTCTCACCATCTTTAAAGAAATGTAAGTTGTTAACGTGGAATTATATAGAGTAAGACTTGTGGATTTTTATTGTTTATTGTACTTGTAAGTTAACCATCCACTAGAGCTTAAAGATTGGTGGTTAACCATGAACACCCAAGAAGTGGACCCATGACTCATTGCTCCTTTGTGAACTTTGGGGTGTTTGCTATTAAGAACCCATAGTTAAAGCTTAATATGGAGTTCACGGATCATAATGATAGCCCATAATTCAACAAAGACCCCAATTTAATGAAAATTTATACTCGGCACATACTCAACCTGTAGTGTGGGTTCTCAGGTGTGATCTGGGACATGGAATTTCCTTCACGCCTTAATAAACCTTCTCATCAAAGTGATGGACTTTTCCCCGATATTATTTATGGCAAACTCTTGATGTGCTTAGGACAATAGAAATGCAAGAGTGCTCACCAATGTCTCCAGTATTTTCATTCTTTTCTAGTCGCTTCCAGATGAGATGTCTGAAGACGTTAATCTGGAACATGGACCGGGAAAGACATCAAGAAACTGGGCAGGTTCAACCATGGGGACCAAGGGTTCATTTCTTTTCATGCTTACACAAAACAGCCAGTGAGTCCTGACACGGCTGAGCCAAGACAGCTGAGATAATCCTTCCCCACCTTTTCTTTCTTCCGCCCAGCACTCTGGTCAGGCCAGTGAGGCCAAGAGTGTGTGACTGGCGCAAGGTTACCCGTGAGCTCCATGGTTAAGAGGAGACAACAACCCTGACCTTTCAAGTTCCAGCCCAACACTAGAACAAGTATCCTGCACTGGTTTCCCAGTGGCCAAACCTTCTGGACTATCAACCATCACTAATAGCCTATGTTAAGGAAGACAGGGGGAAAGAAAGAACTGCTTCTTTATCACGTTGAGGAGCAACATTCCCTTCATGGGACAGGTGCTCAAGCAGGTGGTGGCTGGACAGCTCCAGGAACTCTCGGAGGAACTGGATCTTCTGGATCCATTTCAGTCCAGTTTCAGGCCCGATTTCGGGACAGGAACTGCCACAGCCACCCTGTGGGATGGCTTTTGCCAGAAGAAAGTCAGGTCAAAACCTTCTTTTCTCCTGCCCTATTAATCTTTTTGATGGTTTGATTTTATATCGGTTTTTATTCAGCTCGTGATTGAATGCCTGCAGTGGATTAGTATTCTGTTGTTGTATACTATTATTTCATTTTCTTTGTTATTTCATTTTTCTTCCCATCCTGCAGAAGTTGGCGACTTGTTGAAGAGCAACTTTTGCATGCTGTTCATAGCTGATGCCCTTTTAAAATCAAATGTGGGCAAAAGCTACTTCTCTCCATCTCTGTGATGAAGATCAGTTGGGACTGGGTTTTTTTAGAAAAGCCTGGTCCATTCTGATACTATCAAGACAAAAGATAAGTTAAACAAGGAATTGTTCCAAAATCCCCTTGGAATACAATCCGTTACTTACCTGAACAGAGCTTATGCATGAAGAACTGTTTTTATATAACTCCCAGTGGGGCTATAAAGCAATAAAGCCACCAAATCATCTACTAATGACTGATTAGGGGTTGATGGTTTTCCTCTTGAGCGTTTGCATGAATTGCCTGATTGTTGAAGGGAGAATGACGGGCCATTTCTTCCTTTCCCTCTAGGCTGAAATGGTTCGAGAAGAAGGCAAGGAAGCCATTGCTTTTAGGGACAGGTTTCAAGGGCTGCTTGGGAACTGCCCTGCGGAGTTTATTTTGAAAGTGGATTGTGATTTCTGGATGATCTTGTTTCTGGCAAAGGGGGAGTAGAGAACTTTGGCTTTTTCTCCTATTTGCTTTCCTTCTCTTGGAAGAGAAACATAAACAAAAAGTGACACACCTTAGATTTTCTTTAAACTGGTAAATTGTACTATTGGTGCCATCCGCTGGGCTTGGAGAAAACTGCTTTTGCGAAGGATTTGACTGGGAGAACAGAAGATTATATACTTAGCTAACTGAAGGATCCACTGACATTTGCAAGAGTTACTGGAAAAATACTAGGAGATCCTAACTCATATTAATTTTTGACTAATAAAGATATGATGAAGGGGGGGGTGAAAGTAGAGAAGATGGTAAATCCCATTTTTCAGATTGGATGGAGAGACCCTAAAAGTGAACTACAAACTTTTTAATTGAATAATGGTGGAAAGAGGAAGAAAATGCATAGAAAAACAGATTCACACAGACCAAACTGGATTTGTCCCGAAGTGATTAATGAAAGATAATGTCCACTTTGAGCTTAATGTTAATGAAATCTATGAAGGAGTAGAAGGAGAGGAAGCAGCAGTTATTTTCTTGGATGCGGAAAAATCCTTTGATAACTGGTCTTGGTCCTTTTATTGAAAACGCTCAAGTATTTAGACTGCTGGATTCAGGCAATGCATACCGAGCAACATGCCAAGATCCTTACAAACGGGGTGTGGGCCCTCTGGCCACTTCTGCAGCGCTCTCCTCGCAGCCACCCGATGGAAGCCACACAGCAAGTGGAGCGGCATCGCTGGCTTCACGATGGGGAGCCCCTTTCGCTCGCCGCAGCCTCCCCTCCTGCAGCCCCAGAGCCTGCTTTGCACAATGGTTTAGTCCACAGCCAGCGGCAGCAAAGTAAGTGGATCGGTTCGTTAGAGGCACTTAATGCGCAGCACTTTGCAGCTTCACAAAGCGGTTTCCTTAGGAAACCGGGCAAGGATTTCTGCAGAATTTTGGCAAAACTTCATACCTTGGTTTTCACTTGGATATAGCAGCTGCTGATGAGGATCACTCCAATGAAAAAGGCCAGAAACATGAACAACCTTCCAGGAGGAGCCAAAGACATTCCAGCCACCTCTCTGAAAAACACAGAGGTGTCGCCACCTTGGATGTCAGTCCATGACCTCCCCTCCCCACCGGCTCTATTAGCCAGTCTCCTTGGAAGGCATGCTCTTGGAGGCGTGGGCCTCAAGCTCCCTCTCCTCTGCAGTGAGCTGCCGCCCTGCACTCTGGTGGCCAGACCCCAAGGCTCCCCCTCCTGTGGCCGCAACCCCCTCCACGCACTGGGGAAGGCTTCTCCGGAGGGCTGTGCTGAGGGGCCCATCAGGTTGCACATTAGTGGAACAGCATGTTTCCTCAGATCGCCTGCATTAGATGCACAGCCCCACAGGAAGAAAAGTCCTTTCCAATATAAACTGGGCTTGCCTTCTGGGGATCTCTGTGGGCACTGGGTGGGACTCCGAGGCTGTGCTCTAAGTCACTGGGGGCACCTTCTTCCCGGCAGCACCCAGCAATGGCTGCTCGTTTCGGATGCCTACCGAGTCCTGCTCTCGATGGCTGGATTCCTCTGGACAGGGAAATTCACCTGGGCACTGAATGCGAGTGGAAGACGCACTGCTGAGACACTGCAGGAAGGACGCAGCCCCTGCAGTGCAACACATTTCCGAGGTGGAAAATCCTCAGTGTTTGTAACATCCGGGACTGGGAGTACTTTGCAAATGATCCCTTTTTCCTCAGGATCACTTGGAAGTCTAGTCCAGACTTTGCTGCTGCCCTTCTTTTCTACACTGCAATGCCAGGCATTCCCCACCCAAGTAAAGCTCTCCCAGGCCCCAAACAGAGGAGGGCCCCAGAGAGAGCCAGTGGAGAGAAAGACCTGGGGCAGACTGTCCATATCTCACACTCCCCGTTCGGTCTGGTGTGCCAGGCTTGGCTTTTAAGACAACTTACCCCAAACTCGAAGGCGGCTTTTTTCCCAGGCGTAGGAGGCCGTGCAAACGTAGCAGTCCCAGGGAGACCAGAGAGTGTACTTTAGTGTGACATTTGGGGACCAAAGTTCACTTTGTCAGCTGAACTACGGTGGGATTGCCAGGTGCAGCCTAAGTCAGAAGCAATGCAAAGCTGGCAGGGAGTGGGGGCCGGGGGAGCGAGCAGCGGGGCCCGAGGGAAAGAAGTGCCACGGACGTCTCTCCTAAGGGGCAAGACCAACAAGCGACTCATGGAGACCTTCATTCCTTTTCTGCAATACTGTTAAAGAACAATTCAAGCTTTGCTGTCTACAGTAATACAGTTGACTATATAAAAGGGACAGAGCTGGCACACAAACAAATAATAATTTATAAAATTAACCCGGATGATTCAAAAACACTGGAGTGCAAACTGGTTTTCTGTGGGAAAGGACATAGTTTAATATACAAGAGTGCTCCGAAATCCCACAGGGGGCGATTTGTGTTCCTATTACAGGCCCATGTTTGTGTAGCAGATGCACTTGGAAGCAGTCCTGAATTTTCCCAAGCCTTGCTTGGTGGTTTCATGCCCCACCAGGAATTCTTTTGCCTCTGCAAAAGAGCTGTTATACTTTAGAGAATATTTGTGTAAAACCATATTTCTCCAAAGGGTCATACAAGATTTATTCATTTATTTTTCTATTTAGAAGCTGCCGAACAGTGCAAAAGACCGTCTAGGTGGCATACAGTGGACAAAAATTAGAAATATACCACAGAACTTCATAAGCCATTATTAAAATATAAATAACAAATTAATAATAATCTAACAGGGTCATTCTAAGCGTGACACGGGGAGACAGGCACTTCCTGCGGCCTGCCCTGTTTCCGTGGCAACATGGCCCAGATCCCTGCCTGGCCACTGTTAAGGCAGGCCTCAGCCCACGCTGCTCATGGAAGGGCTGTAACCGTCACCGTGCACCGACAGCCACCATTCCCCTGCCCAAGAAAGCTCCACCACGGAGTGGCCCGTGAAGTACGGGTGGCTTGTGCGGGAGCCCAGAACCCCGAGGGGGACAGCAGCAGCCGGACGCCCGGTGGCAGTGGCCCTGCTCTGACATCGCCAGGCGGGTTCCCTCCAGACATGCTGGACGGGGGTGCCAGCAGTGCTGGTCACGCGGGACCTGGGGAGGTGCATGGGGCAGGCTGAGAGAAGGGGTTCCCCCACAGGAGGCAGCCCCCAGAGCAGAGACGTCGCCCCCAGGCACGATCGGTCTGCCTGTGTGGAGAGGAGCAGCCCCACGGTGGGCCAGCGGCACCTTCGGCACAGCTCTGGCATGGGTGCGGGAAAGCCTGCCTGGCTTGGCGGAACCGACAGCGGCTGCCGGCCAGGGCGAGGAGGGAAGGTCTTCCTGGGACAGGCACAGGACGGGTGGGGGGGAGCCAAATTCGCATCCCTGACGCCCTGCCCAGGTGCAATGTTCACGCCCACTTGTGGCCCAGTGTACCAGCCACCTGGCGGGAGATGGCCGTCAGGTGATGCAACGCCCAACCGGGCACAGGGCCCCCATTTGAAATGCAAAGCTGCCATTTCCCTGATTGAGATAGACTTGGCAAGGAGACATTTAGGTTCAAGCATTCCCGCTCCGCCCCATCTGTCCACATACCACCCCAAAAATCTTCTCCTTTAAAATTATCTCCCCTATGAATTGAAAGTTCGTACATTGGATTTGCTTCCGTGACTTAGCATATATAATTTAAAAACATGTTGATTTGATTTCCAATCACGTGATCTGGGGGGTGAACATCGCCTGTGGCGTAGGCGATCGTCATGTCCCAGGCGTCCACAAAGGCCACGTCCAACTCCCCAAAGACATCCTTGGCCGCGAGGTACTGGGCAAAGCCGTGGAAGTCGCTGAACCGCTCCTGGTCCACGTCCAGCTCCCGCGTGTTCTCCCCCTTGATGACGACGCGGGTGTGTGGGCTTCTCAGGAGGAGGCGCTGGATGGCCCGCCGGACGTTGAGCGCCCTGTGGACAAACAGCTCGATGGGGAAGGGGCGGAAGTGCTGGCCCAGGGCGACCACGACGGCCGTGTCTTTGTCTCCCGCAATGCTGTCGATCTCCCGGGCGATGTAGTTGTGATCCGTGGTCAGGTACTCGCTAGCAGTGACTAAGGGGTGGTTGTGCTTTTTCCACTGGACCTGAATCTTCCTGTTCATGTCCACAGCAACCAAATTGGGGTGTCTTCCAAATCCATGGGTGTCCAGATATTTGAGGGCTGAGGCAGGAATAGAGCTCAATCAAGACATGGTGTCTGGCAAGGATCCTGCACGGAATTACTGGGCTAAAGAAGCAGATACCTATCGGGGCAGCGCATCCATCCTGCAGATGTTCTCTTTGACCTTTGTGAAAAGCCCTCTTGACCGCTGGCTGAGAGAGAGATCTCAGCTGGCAAGGCAGTGTATCCAAACGGGTCTCCTAGCTTCAAATGAAGCTCTCCACCTGCCGTGGTTTTAGTTTGGATACTGCCTTGCGCCCCTACAATTAGAGGCACCCTAGTCAGAACCCCAGATTCAGATTTAGGGCGAGGCTGAGGGCACAGAAAGGATTTCGGATCACAGAAACAAAGCTGCGCGTACTTACACTTCATCGTCCTGGTGAGATACTCTATCCACTGCCGGGACGTGGAGTCTCCCAGCAGGTAAATCACCTTCCCTTGCAAGCAGGTGTAAAGATGATCCAAGGTGTTCAGAGTCTCCAGGGTGCAGGAAACTGGGTGCCACTGGTTCTGCAGGGCGAAGCCACTGGGAAACGGGGACGAGACCTTAAACCTGCATGGCTCCCTTGCTGTCGTCTTGTTACCTGGTAAAAGGAAACGAGCAACAGGCAATGATGACAAACGCTGATGATGGCACAATCCAGGAATCCCAAGACAGGAGAAAGACAGGAAGCATTTGCGGAAAGGTGCTGGGATGGAGCAGAGCCACAGAAGGCCCTTCGTGCGCTGGACTGGCATCCTGCTTCCACTCCAGGAACTTTCCCAGTGGCTCCTGGGAAGGGAGAACAGCAAGAAAGAGCGGAGAGCGAGAGAGCAGCCCAGCGTGCAAGCCCAAAAGGAGGGGAAGCCTCCGTGGTCCTCCAAGGGGACCGCAGTCCAGTCCGCGTTCCCAGCAGAGGCGGCGTGGAGGGAGGCAAGAGCAGAAAGGCCCCGGCTCTGCTTGGGCAACTCCAGAATGGCCTTTTTGTGCCGGGACCCGTTGTGGAATGCGGCCCTTCTGCGCTCCCCCTCCACTGCCCCGTGTCTTTCCTTTCTGGTTACTATCCATTTGGGAAGGAAGACCTATAGCTTTTTCTCAGCGGGTATCTGTTAGTGCCCGCGGCTGTCCACCTGGAAGCACCCAGGGCTGATGCCAGCAATGTGGGGGGACAAACAAAGGAAATCCAAGTCACTTTCGCAGGGTACCACACGGATGTCCTTGAAGGCCTGAGGGATCTCAATTCCAATGTTGGACCTTCAAAAGAAGGAGAGAAGGGTCAAGTGAGCACAGGAACACTCAGCATCTCAGCCAGCAATGGTGCCAGTGCCTTGCCACACCCGATACGCCCGTCGTCTGGCTAGATGTGTAACAGTTCCACTTCTAGTTCCACTTCTAGTTCCACTTCTGGTTCTGTCCTGCCTGTTCGCAGTGATCAGGACTCCAGACCCTGGGGGTCCTGGTCTGGCCTGGCAATGTGAGTGCTATGCTCGTATTGGAGGCTGAGGGAAGGCCATGTTGAAATGGCCCATGGAGCATCCCAGAGTGTCCCAACACAGGGCAAGGGAATGTCAGAGGGTCGGCCTGACAGAAACCAGGGGAACTGGCTTCCGCCTCTCGCTCCCGCCCACGCGCCTGCTGAGGAGGTGCTGCACCTTCGCGTGAGCATTGTTCCCCTCTGGAGCATGGCTGGTGGTGACGCATGAGAGGCCTCTCCTGCGTGCAGCACCCAGAGGAGGGTCTCCTGTCCCAGCAGGTCGAGTCTTCTCCTTTCTATCTGCATCCTCCCAGCAAGGGACGATTCGTCCTTCCAGGAGGTCTTCCAGGGACCTCACCCATGCTTAATTTACGTTGCTGACTTTTCATGGTCCATATGTATGTGTTTGCTGCAAATTTTAACTTGTTTTTATCTTGGAAAGCTATTTTGCATGACTCTCTTTTTCAACTGGGGAACCTGGAGAACCTTTTCTGAAATAAATAATAACACGATATAAGATAGACACTGCATTTCACCAACCAAATGCGGTGTGGCCACTGGGGTGATGTTTCACCTTGTATGCAGCTGTTCCCCCACATTCTCTCCTGAAACGCATCCTCTGAGTAGTGCCAGTCCACCTCAAGCTAGAAGGCAACTGTCCGCTGCTCTTTGCCCTTTGCTTATCTGCTTCTAACATTTTGCTGCTAAGTATTTTGCATATAATTCTAATAGATGCTCTTCTGGGCTTAAGCTTCACGCAAAGGCATAAGAGGCTGCTATAGTTATGGTTTGTCAAAAAGATATAAAGCAATTCTGGGCTTGCTTGGCATCATTTGATTGCGTGGCCCCATCTCAATGGCCTTCAGCTACCTGCAACCATTTCAGCCCTGGGATTTTGATCTCAGAAAGAACCCTTCCTTGGGTCTGAAGGCAGAAGGGGAAAGGAGCAAAGCTTTCTTGCTGCTGGGAAGGATGCGTGGCAGGGACATCCCCTCTCCTCGCTAGCTTGCTTTCCAAACACTGTCTGTGAACACCTTTGCAAGAAGTCATCTACTGAGGAATTCTCTAGGGTCTTCTGTTTGGCCAGGAGCTGAAAGCATGCACGGATCAGCACCCTCCTTACATGAAATTTTCCAAGATGGAACGGGAGAGTAATTACCGCTTTATAAGGCTCCGTTCCAAGTCTGTGAGATATGACATGGGCGCGTTGTAGGACGTCAGGGAGAGGAAGGCTGCGCACGGCACGTTCTTTGGTTTCACGCAGTAGAAGGCCTCCTGGTCCCGATCATCTAGATATTCACAGAGCTCTGCCTCTGTGGTTATGTTAAAAGTACATTTGGTGAAGACAGCTGATGCTCCATTTAAATATTTCCCCCTGAAAATGACTTTGTCGTAGCCTTTCTTCCTCGTTGCCCACAGCGCAGAAACCGCTTCACTGGAGTGGATCAGCAAGAGGGAGACCTTGACATCACCCTCCCAAAAGAGGGTGAAATTGACCAGATATGTTCCATTCTTATAGTCTTGGATATGCCCAGAAGCCGCGGCTTTCAGACCCGGGGAATAGATCCTCGCTTGTAAGAAGTCGCCTCCGTACTCCTTCCTCTTCCCCAAGTGGTCGAACAAGTCCAGCCGAACCAGCAAGTGCTCCCCAACACAGTAAGAGCCTTTCGGGCTCACAAGGGTGGCTTTGCTGCTCTTGGCACTTGTGGTGGTTTTTATATCAGTGAAAGTGACTTTGGGCATCCGCTGGTCCAGTTTTGCAACGATGTATTTCACCTCTTTGTCCTTCTTTGGCACCTCCTTCTTAGTCTGCTTTGTAGTTACTTCATTCGTTAGGCAGATTCTGCTCCCGGTATCTGCAGCTGAAATATTCTTGTTAAGATTGGAATACTTTGACATTCATCTGCATCCTGTATAGAAGCAACCCTATGGCCTTGGAGAGTATCCCAAGGACTGTAGGACGTTTTGGATTCCCCTTCCCCAAGTCATCAATGCTACTCAGACTTTGGGAGATTCCAAGATCTCCTCCTTCCGACAATCACTTTCCCAGCCTTTCTCATGGCACTGGTTTGCCAGCGTCAAGGCCTTGAAGCAGTCAGAAAGAGGTGGGGGAAGAAGAAGCCAAAGGCCGTTCTGCTTTCCCCAGCAGGACTCCCATGGAAAGGTTTAGAGGTTTGCTGAGTGGGGCGAACATCTAAAGGAGGCCGTGGCAGTCAAAATTACCTGTGTTATTTCCTGTATTGAATATCAGTAACCCAAGAATCTTGGCAGTCTTTTATGTTGGAGGCCTCCATTTAATGGGCAGCAATCCAATATGAATTGTGTCCCAACAAAACTTTTCATTGTAACTTATCATTGTAAGCCATTGTCAAACTTTGATAATTTATCAAAACTTATCATTGTAGGCCATCCTAAGCCTTCTCAGAAAGAACAGGATAAAAATGTTTAAATAAATAAACAAACTTGAATGTCAGAGATGCCTTTTTAATCTACCCAGCCAGCCATAAAGAAAATGGACTTTCCTCATTACAATAATTCATGTTGTTGGCGGTGTGTTTTAGTTTTCTTGACAGATTTTTTAAAATAATGCCGGATTTGGTTATGAAACTTTCTTACCAATGTCTCCTGTAACTTGCTCTGTTTCGATTTGCCTCATAAGACTTCTGAAGATGGTAATCTTGAGAAAGAAAAACAAAGAAATAATGACAAGGAGAGATAATTGTCCAGGGTGGGAGTGTGTTCCGTGTTCTCCACGTCCCAGGTTTCACTGCTGGCACCTCCAATTTCAACAAGGAGCAAGGTGCTGGCACGAACTCTGCCAGGCAAACGTTGAAGCACAGGAATAAGCGAATTATTGCCAGGACCTAGCTAAAAGCAACTTGCTCTGCACACGGGAAGCAAAGAATTCTCCCTGCTCCAGCTCGTGAGAAGGCAGCACACGTGAGAGGGGGTAAGAAAGGGAGTGAGAGAGCGTGTGTTTCGTGAAGATGCTGGAATGAAAATGGGAGGAGCACAGTGGGCAGGTGCACGGATGCGATGGCATGCGGGGCTCCGGGGTGGGCAAGCGGCATCTGAACTGGACTCCAAGGAGGACGGTGACAGAGCTGGGCCGCGACCCAAGAGGAGAGGGCAGAAAGCGAGCTTCTACTTCTTCCACTCCCACTATGCATTTTCAAGACAGCCAAACATACATTTTCAGTTTAATATTCAGTTGTCTTGGGCTCCCATTTCACTGGAAAGGCACATATATAGTTAATGATAGTCAATTTTATACACATACATGCATGCATGTATTTGCACACACCACTTTTCAGCGTATGAACTAATCGGATGCAGAAAACAGGCTGGGAACTTCTACCTTGATCTCCATTCGGTGGAAAGCATAGCTGAGGATGACAACCCCTGTGAACAAGAGGAGGAGCAGGATTTTTGGCTTCATCTCCGGAGCCACGGCAGATGCTCTTGTCACCCCTGCAAAGAGCACAGAGAATCCCCGTCACTGTGGTGGATTCCGGGCCCATCGCACACGCATATGGGATGGGATGGTGTCACCCAGACTCCAAACCCCAGGAGACCCCCGCATTTAGTTCCCTTGGCTGTTTGGAGCAAAGCGCTCTGACTCGCATCTTCCACGCTGACGTGCAGACTGGAGTGCAGCCATCCCTGGACGGAGCATTTTTTCAAAGGCTTATTTATTTATTATTTACCTATTCGATTTTTCACTCGCCCTATTAGCCATGAGGCTCCCTGAGTGGGTTACAAACAAAATGACGCCATCACTATAAGTGCATAGGAGACCATATAAGAAAACACTAAAAACACAGTATTGCAATCTAATCACTGAACAGTTAAAAGCACACCGAGATCACACTGAGCAGGTTTCGGCAAGGGGCGGCATAGAAATGTTATAATAATAATAACCACAATTACGCAAAAGGCAAAACCATGCTCTAGAATAAGATGTACCTCTTACAAACCATTAATATCAATCTAACAGTTAAAATACTGGGAAAATGAAAGGGTATTTGCCTGCTGCCAAAAAAAAAAAAAAAAAAAGGCAAAGAGGAAGCCAGGGAAACTTCTCTGGGAACTCATTCCAGGTCCAGACGCTTCTTCTTGTGGTCACCCTCCATATTTCCTGAGGAGGGGCTCCCTCAGAAGAGCCTCTGAGGACAACCTCATGTCTGTTGGACTGCCCCATCGACATGCTTAATGAGACAAGACTTCTCCGTGCAGAAGCCATGCTGATATTTCGTTTCGTGTTCGCTTTGCTTTGCTTTGCATTTTATTTTGTTTTGCTTTGTTTTCAGCAGGGCTTGTCTCTCCATCCACTTACTGATTCTATCTGTAATAATGCTTTTGAGAAGTTTGCCCAGAACAGATGTTAAGATAAATGACCTGTAATTTTCCAGTTCCTCCTGGATCTCTTTTAAAACTTGGTGTTACATTGGCTGCCTCCAATCCTTTGGTACCGGGCTGATTTTAAGGATGTGTTAATTATTTTGGTAAGAAGATCGGCAATTTCATGTTTGAGTTCTTTGATAACTGTAGATCGATACCATCTGGATGGAGTGACTTGCTCACTTTCAGTTTCTCAGGCAGGTGGAGAATTCCATCTTTTGTCGCTAGTGTCTACCTGAATTCCTCAGACTCCCTTCCAGAAGAAAAATATTTGTTCTGCCTCTTCCACTGCAAAGACTGACCAAAAAACAAAAACCAAAAACCTGAAAGTCATTCCATTTCTCTGGAATCTCCTTGCCCCTGCTTTAGTGCTCCTTTAATTCCATTATGATCCAATGACCCAATTCCTTCCTTAGCCACTGCCTTTCTTTCGATACAGTCAAAGAATGCTTCAGCGTTAGCCTTGATAGCACTAGCCACACGCTCCTCAGACCGTTCCCTTGTCCTCCGAGTGCCTCCTTGTATCTCCCCCGCACGACCCGTCTGCTCTTTTCCTTTGGGCAAGACTTCCATTTTTTGAAGGAAGCGTTCTTCTCCCGAATAGCCTCCTTGTACTAGCGATTTCCGGGACTTTGTGCTACCTTTTCTCACTTGTGGTATGCATATCATAGTGTTTTTGAAAAATCTCCAAGTGCTTTGAAGCAATTTGATCTTCTCAATTCCCCTCTTCAACTTCTTTACTAGTTCCCTCAGTTTTTAGAGGTTTCCTCTTTTGAAGTCAAACGCGACTGTGTTCAACCTCTTTGGCAGTCATCCACCGAACTGTCTACTGCATCTGATGCTAGCACGGTCTCTGTTGCATCATGGCTCAATAACATTTACGTCCTGGATCATGTCCTGGGCAAGCCCGCCTAGGATTGAATCCAAAGTTACCTTCCCTCTGCTTGGCTCTATGACTGACTGCTTTACACAGTCATTTATGACATCAAGAAATCTAACCTCTCTGTCAGAACGGGCACATGCATTATCCCGCAATGTGTGTGTAGCTGGAGTCCCCCATTGTTACAGCAGAGTAGGACCTCTGTACCCCCAAGGGATGGGCTCCAAGTCCCCCAGCGCATGCTTGAATGTGCGGATCGTAGCAAACTCTATATACTGTGCAGTCCATCCTCCACATTTGTGGGTGTTACGGACACAGGAGCCCTGCAAAAGTGGGAAAACCACAAGCATATCTAGGGACTCTGTCTGGGGATGCCTCACTCTTGGTCTCGGGACGAGCCAACTTCACTTATGTGTTTTGTTGCTCAGTGGCACAAAGACTCTAGAAATATTTGTGGGGTTTCCTCTTCCACGGGGGTTCCATGACTCTAATCCCTGCAAGTGTGCAGGGCCACGGCCAACCACGGCTACGGGAAACCATGTTAACTGATGGTCCTACCTGTGCCGCTTGGTGGGGGCCTCCCTGGATTCGTTTCCCGTCGCAAGATCACCCTGAGCATCCTGGACTGGGGAACAATAGCAGGCTCCTCGGACTTAGTTAGGTTTGGAGCCAGGGATTCTCACTGATGTGGCTCCTGTGAAGGAGTCCTTAGATTATCAAGCCTACCAGACTCTCTGCCCTCCTTAACAAGGCAGGCAACGCCTCCTCAGCTCCCCTCCCTCCTTCCTATGCAGTTTATATCTGGAGAGACAGATTAGTGATCTGTGCATAAGAACATCTGTGAAAGCTTGCCTTTGCTGCCATCTTTTGGTTTTTAGGAAGGCTCACTGCTGCCCAAATTCTGCTGCTCTAAATTCCTGAATTTATCATCATCATCATCATCTTTTTTTAATGAAGCTGCAAGTGTTTTCTAGAAAGGAAGCCTACTAAATGGTTAACACTTGATACTGGGTGTGCTAGCACCCAATAATGGGTGTGTCAACCATTGTTGGGGCATCACTCTTTAGCTACAAGCACTGGGAGGTGGGAAGAGGCGAGGTCCCCGCCACGTGAACGGGAACGGGAAGAAACTTGGCCATACGCTCCACATCACGCCTCCAGCTCTCCAAGGGCCAGAGACTGGTCGGCTCTCCTCAGATGAAAACCGGACTCTGGGGATCGCTGCTCTTCTTCGGGGTGGGGTCAGCTGTCGGCACACGAGCGAGCACCGTAAACAAAGGTGATTCGGTAGACGAGAAGCCCCCAGGGCAGCCTTCCGCCGGTGGGGCAGGAAGCAAGGCCCTCCGGATGCTCTTGCTGCCCCTCACCAAGCTTTCAGAGGGACATTCTGGCTGCAAGCTTCTCCTGGCTGCTCGGGGCTTGGCAGAGAGGGGCAGGTGGAATGGAGAAGCCTCGCTCCAGGCCAGCCTCTGAGAAGAAGCCGGATGGGCAATTCCCAGGAGGGGTTCGGACCGAAGAGGCTCTCAGAGGCAGACGAGGTGGGTGCGGCTCTTGACCCCACGACGCAACTTTGGCAGAGGAGGGTGGCGTACAGAGAGGGGGGGTGCTTGTTTCCCAAAGGGCCTGCTAGAAAGCATACTCATCAGGAGAGTTCCTGGAGGCGAGCAGTAGACCGGCTTCTGCAAAATGCTCTGCGCATGCTCAAGGTTCCTCCTGGCTGTTTGTGCTTCTGGAAATGCTCTGAGCAATAAAGACTGCTCGCAAGAAGGGTCTGCGGCTTTGAACGTGCGAGGGAGGAAGCCTTGCTCACAGCACACGCCCCGGCAAGAACTCGGGGCCATGGGCTCTCTGGTGCTGCCCCCACCCCTTTCCCTGCCATCCTCTTCACTCGCTTCCCACTCTGGTGCAGACACTGGTGACGGTGCGGAAGAGAAGCAGGGGAGTTCCCGCGTTCTCTGCCTGCCAAGCGAGCAAGCCGGATCCGTGACAAGGCAGAGGAGCCCCACAAAAGCAGTCGCTGATGAGCGCCATGGGAAGGCTGTTCACAGGGCACAGGGAGCACTGAATTTCCAACTGGCACAGTACACAGGGGTCAATTGTCTCTGCTGAACACAGCTGTGTCAATAAGACATTTCAACAAATCCTGAGAATGGCTTGTCCACCACCATGTGGTGCTCACTCTTTTCCATGGTGCTTATTTACACGATTCAGCCGGGACCCATAACCCTGGCCTCTCTCCCACAGAAGGAAGCGGGGCACACTCGATCTGTGTTCGTTGGACTGGATTCTGTATTCACAGCAGTATTTTGGATGAATGCTGAACGTTCGAAAACTCCGTTTCATTAAAAAAAAACTATTTGCAGGGAGTACATGTCAGTGTTGATAAGCTGATTGAATGAGGCCATGACAGGAAGGCTTAGCAAAACAAACTCGATTTAGTTGCACAACATTTGTAGAGATGCTGAGAAAGAACAGGTGGAGCGATACTTTGGTGAAGGTGCAATTTCCTGCCACGGCTGTCCCCAGCAAGGCTTCTCCGGTGCAGAGCAGGTTGGCCAGCTTCGCATGAAGGCCCTTGGGACTCACCCGCTTCTCTGTCCCAGGCACGTGCCACCCCAATCATCCTCCAGAAGCAGCCACGGCTTATGTCTCTTCGCACTGAAACCCTGCTGGTTTTCCTCGTGCAAGGAAGCCGAGGCAGCTCCTGTCCGTGTTCGCCTCACATCAATCCTGCAGCTGGCCCAGGCACCCAGTGGCTCTCCCTCCCAAGTCCTGCACAGCCCTCTTTCCATCACACCGCACTCACCCAGCGCCGCGAGATGACTGCTGAACGGCCAGACACCTCTTGGCATGCCCGGGCAACCCCACTCACTCTCTCTGCAGACGATCGTGCCGCCTCCAGCTGTTTCCAGACGGACTCCATGCCCTTGCAGCGTCAGTGTGATCGCTGCATTTCCTGCCCTGCTTCAGCCGGCTGGCTTCCCCATGCGGCTGGCAGGCCTCGTTCCCGGCTCTTGGGGAGCAAGATGCTGGATGCTCAGCCAGGTTGCTCTCTCCTGCCTGCACGCAGCAGAAGCTGCGATCCAGCAGGGCTCTGGAGGGCTGCTTGTCCTGTGCAGACTTCAAGGAGTTTCCCTCCCTCTGGGCCGTTGAGGAGGAACTCGAGTCGCAGAAATCTGCATGGGCAGGCGAATGTGCGCCTTCTGCCACACACAGCGCAGCCTGCAGGCAGCCGAGGGCTGCGAGGAACGGGTCTCTTCCGATCATAGAACCTAAGCAGGGAGTGTGCAGCAGAGGTGCCGAGCCAGACCCGTCCCCGGTCCATCCAGCCCAGTTTTGCGGGCACGGACTGGCAGTGACCACTGCAGGCGCTTCTCTGAGGGGGTGGCCGCCTTCAGAAAGGGCTGCTTCCTCAGAGGCCCACACAACGCCGGGAAGCTACAGAACCCTTCTGCCACATCTCCCGCACGAGATCACACTGTGCAAAGGAGTAGTGCATCCGCCCCTGCACGCTTTTCGTTGGCCCTTGCGCTGCAATGTCTCTGTAGACCTTTTCTGGCTCTTTGAGGAACCAGAAGACTCCCTCCCTCCTAGGCTGGCCATCTATTGCATTTTTACAGAAGAAGGAGGTCCCTGTCATTGCTGATCTGCTCATGCTCTGAGTGGGGATACTGGGTGATTTCTGAAGACAAGTTAAGCCAAATTGGAGATGGAATGGGAGTAACTGAAAGAGAATTTAGTGGAAGAGGAACTCTCTGGGGATGCAGCTTGAAGAATACGATGTGATTCAGGAGGAACGCCGCCCTGAGAGCTTCAGCTACAGGCAGTGCAGAAATGCAATAAATATATAATAATAAAAAATAGCCTTCGTAAAATTTAAATTCTTTGCACAAGTGCATATAAATCAGTATTTGCAATAAGTTGCCTCTGGGCCGAATGCTGAATTGTTAGTGCAACAAGCAATGCCTCTGAGTTTAGAAATGGGTGTATAAATTGGACTTGCCTCCATAAGAGCAAATCAATCATTGGCTGAAATGTTCTCTGGATGCCAAACCCAGCCCAGCCATAAGGACCTGCCTGCTTGCATGAACACACCACAGTTTCTGGCCCAAGTATGGTCATGGCAGCAATAAAACTGTTACACCGAAGGTCTTCAAGAGAAATAAAGGGAAGCAAATATTTGTGCCAGTTCCTTGGAGGTAGCTAACCAAGAAGCACAACTCCAACAGCTTCACTTTTGCCCACATTTTTTAAAATCCCAAGTTCTTTCCATCTCATTTATAATGACTTTTGCAAAATGTGAGGTGTCCTTCCTTATCAAAAAACGAACAGCTCAAAGCTTCCTATATTGGATTTCTGTCTCTCAGGAGAGCAGGAAATACTCACTTATGACTATTCGTTGGGGCTGTTTGCATAGATACACCCCAGTGCAGGCACACACCCATACTCAAATGACAAATTTGCCCACTATTAAAAAAAAAAGGTGGAAGGCACACGGTGGAGTTGAGTGACAAGCCAACCTATCCACCCTTGTTTGCTTAACCAAAAACCTTCACAAAGCACATAGAAAAGAACAATCCTACCGTGAAGGGTCCAATCAAGTTACTTCCACCGCTAATATACATGATTACATAGAATTCCATCTCGTTTTAAAAGCAGCCATCGCAAAGAACCAAATTTGATATGTATCTTACTTATCAGCATAAACAGGCATGTAGTTTCAGATTCTGACCTCTCAGGGGAAGGAAGAAAAAGGTCTCCAAGGACTGGCCTTTACAGCCATCCCCACCTTTTCCTGCTCATAAATGCCAAGAGGTTGCCGCACAATCCCAGGTGTGTTTAGACAGGCAACAGAGTCCCACTGCTCTCAGATTCCTGGGTGTTGGGGTTTGCAGCCAAGATGTGGGTGGCCAGAGAAAGGACGAGAGCACCCAGCCAACAGACCCTCAGGCAGCAGAGTCCAAAAGCACATTTGCTGAAAGCCCAAACCGTGGCCGTGGTACGCGGAGGGGTCAGGGACTGAAGAACGCACGAGGGCAGAGCAAGCCCAGGGTCAGAGCCAGGACGACAAGCAGGGTGCAGGCACCTTGGGCAAGGAAACAGGGCAGGAGACGCCGCAGGGCGGGATGCCCAGCCAGGCGAGAGGTGGGCACAACAGCTGGGCAGGTGCAGCCAAGCCCTGCAGCTGGAGGCAACCGGCACTTCCACGGCCAGTTCTGGGGAGAAGGGCTGGCTCTTAGGTGGCTTCTCCCCAGGGCTCCCAGCGGGTGCTCATCCGTAGTCTGAGAGCTCCAGCAGGACCTGGGACCAATCCTGCACATAAATGGGAGTGGCTGCCCTGGCTCTGGCCACCAGGACAGCCCAGACCCTGACACTGGGCCAGCTGGGGGGGGGCGGGGGGCACTGGCACCCGTTGGTCTCTTTCTATCTAAGCATCCACAAGGAAGCTTCCTTGCAAGCAAGAAATCACTTGAAAAGGCAGCTTGTTCAAGTTCTTCTTCATATAGGAAACGCCACTGAGAGGGATGCGCCCCTGAACTGCCATGCCTCAAAGAAAGCCCCCGTTTGCTCAGTGCTCCACATTCCAGCTGCAGGATTCATTGGACGCCATACCCATAATCAGCATTCTTACCCCTCCAGGGTCAGCTGCCCCATGACTCAGCACAGTGCATAATCCTCAAAAGTCATTCTATTTTTCTTTGCATCTTATTTATTTATTTAGAAAATTTCTATGCCGCCCCATTCGCCGAAGCCTCGGGGCGGCTCACAAACATAAATAACTTCAATTAAAATAATATAAATTAACAGTATAAAGCAAGTCGCCCTGGCCAATGAATAAAATAAATAAAGACTATTAACAGTTAAAATGACATTTGAATAAAAAGGTCTTCGCCTGGCACTGAAAAACAAATAACAACGGCGCCAGGCGGACCTCTCTGGGGAGTGAGTTCCATAGATCTTCTGGGCTCTGGCTGTTGCTGAAAGTGAAGCTTGGTCATGCGCTCACCTCTGGTTCTCTCTCAGCAAGTGCATATGCAGCATCTTGAGTACCCCAACCCCAAAAGAAGAAAAGCCAACTTTGAGCGGGATCGCCACGGCCTGGGGCAAACCCGGCCACCAACTCACGAATCCCCTAATGTTGCACTGCCAACGCCATCCAGGACCATCTCCTCCTGACTTCCCTCCTCAGTGTTGCCTTCAAAACAAATCCACAAAGTGTGCCTTCATTTTTCCACAGCTGCGTTGCCTGGAAACCTCAAGTCTAGTGGGGATAAGCAGAGCAAACTATAAACTAGGAGGCAAATAATGCTTAGCAGAGAAATGGTGTCAGATTTAGGGGTTGAGAAGTTAGGCAGCTCTGACTCAACCAAAACATAGTACTTTAGCAGAATTCTTTCTAAATCTACCTTTAGAAAGAAACCTTTCACCTTCCCCTACAAAATTACAATGAAATCAAAAGGTCTGTTTGACAGACCCATTCTAGGTACATGATGTGTTTTTCTCACAGGGGTAACGCAGCGGGTGACTGTCTCCGGTTTCTGCTACGTAACTGGGAAATGCATTCATTCTCTTTAGGGCTTTGTCTTTTTTAAAACAAAACCAACCTAGAGTTTCTTCCGCTGCTGCAGTAATGCTGCATTTCACCTTTAAGCTAAAGGAAGGGCATCCAGTCCACCCTTAAGACTTCAAAATGGTTTCCTTAGAGATTAGCCTTGGATCTGCAATCGCTCACCTTCCAGTGGACAAACCATCATGGACCGTCCTTGATCAAACAAACTCTTTCCTCTGAGAAGAGCAAACATTGTTGCTGCAAAGGTTCGGGTTATGGGGTAGCGTAGAAGTTGAAATAAATATGCCGTCCAGAGACTTTTAGTATTGGGACGGCATATGAAACTTTAATCATAAAATATAATTATTATAATAATAATTATAATAGGGTGCAACAAACAAACCAGCCAACAAACAGAGGGTGTAAACAAAACTGTTGCCAACACGAGGCTCGCAGGAAACTGCTCTGTTCAAAGGGGTGAAAGGGTGGCGGGGAGACGGCTGGTTGCTATTCACAAACTGGACGATGCAGTGCCTGTACTGGGGCCCTACAAGCTGGGGGGCTGAATGACACCCCTCGCCCCACCTCAGAGCCCCACGACGTTCTTCTCGATGACGGGGAAAAGAGAAATGAACTCCCCCCACTGCACAAAGCAGGCCGCTGCTGCACTGGTGAAGAACAAGGAGGCTAGTGACTCTGAAGCTACCGGGGGCCACCGGGGGAGGGGAGGGGAGGCAAGACCGAAAGGCTCGCCTGTGCCCGCCAGCCACATCACACTCCCCTCCCACGAAAGCACACCCCACCTCAAAGAATAAGCTCGGAGGGCCACCCGCAGCCCCACAACAGGCTGAATCGGGAAGACCCCATGCAGCGCCCACGCCCCACCTGGGCCTCCCATGCGTCCCGCATGCAGGACACGCACCTGCCGGCCTGCAAAGAAAGTTCCAGCAGCAGCTGCAGCGGTGGGAAGCGGCAATGGCGGCGAGGCGGCTTCCCTTCTCCGTCGTGGCACTCAGCCTTGCCACCGCCGTCCGAGGCCAGCGGCTCGCCCTTCCGGAGTCGATGCAAAGGTCACAAGCGTCTGCGCCCATAAAGGATGAGCAGCTTGAAGGAGACAAGCTGGGACAGGCCACCCTTAACCCGAACGAGGAGGAGGGCCAGGCGGCTGAGGCAGCAAAAGCCGAACACTGCACACTCTATGGGAATTTAAAAAAAGAAGGAACGTCACCCTGGGAAAAGGCGGCAGTCGCCACAGGGGGATCCGAAGTTATGCTACTCCTGAAGAAGAAACAATGAAAATCTCAGACCACTTCCAGATACTCAAGGACAAGAAGCGAGAACCTGGAAATGGAGGAACGGATGGGTGCATTAAAAAAAAAAAATTAATAAAAATCGGCATTGCTTATCTGGTGTTCCGTGATCGAGAATAACACTCCCTGTTTTATTGGAGTCACATTTTACAACCCCAGTAAAACACAATGGCCCTTATTTTACGCAAGGAATGCTTGCATTTTAAAACGTTTTTTAAACAATTCTTGTGAGTTTTAAAGCATTTTTGAAATGCAGCCTCTCCTCTTCCTCTTCCTTCTTCCCCCACTGACGTCCCACACTCTTTCCTCTCGTGAGCAGGTGGCTCCTACAGGATTTCCTGGCCCAGTTGGGCAGGGGGCTGAGGACAAAGTTACTCCTGGAGAAGCTTTGAAACCGACACTGCCTATTCCCCTGTCAGGGTTCTTTGAACTGAGCAAGTCCAGTCTGAATTAGTGCTCCCAAGTCTTTTTGGCTCTGCTCCACGGCTATAAGCTCCTCGTAGGCCCCTCCTCTGGGGCAGCCTTTCCTAACCAGGTGTTCTCCCAGTGTGTTGGATGACAACCCCCAGCATGTCCGCAGCCACCGCTCTGGCGGAGGCCGCTTTAGACACTTCACCGCCTGAGCCCAGACCTCACGCGCCCCCTCCCCCTTCCACCTGCTAGCTCGGGGGTGTGCGAGACGCAGCTCTGACCCCGCCGGTAGCAGGGGCGATCCTTCTCCTCGATACACGGCACGAATCCTGCGGCCAGGTGCAGCTGTTCCCCGCTCGGAGAGACCATGCTGCCGTGCGAGGCGGCGAGGGAGCTGGATGCCGGAGCAGCCCCGTTCTGTGCCGCGGACACGGCTGGATGGCAGGGACCAAAACCCAGCCGTGCACAGCGCTGCGCCCGTTGTCTCCTGGCCGGGTGAACGAGCCTGCCCTTCGCCGAATCCACGCTCTCACCTGGCCCGGTGCGTCAACGTCTCAGGTTCGCGGGGGCCGGGGCTGGCAGAGCGGCTGCGTCCCGCCCTGGGTGGGAGCCTCGGCAGCCCCGCGATGCGCCCACCTGGGCCCGCCGCCGAAGGCAGCCCGGACATGGCGGCCTGCTCGAGTCGTGCAGTGCGCCCGCTCCTGAGGGCGCCATCGCGCGGTCCTGCAATGCCTGCGCGGGGGCCAGGTGCCCCCCCGGCCCAGTCCGAAGCTCTCCTCGTGCCCCGCGCCCCCGCCGCAGGTGGCCTGGGGCCAGGCGATCCGAGGGAGGGCCTCTCTCCACATAGACCGCCGGTCCCTGGCGTCAGCGTCCGAGCCCCACGTTTCTGTCTGGCTGATATTTCGGAGGATGACTCTGCTGGGCCTGATCTTAAAGCTTTGTTTTGATGGTTTTTAGTGGCCGCTACCATTTCAATCCTGTCATTCTATGGTTTTCAATGTTATGGAGGTGCACAATTATTTTCTATTACTGGTTAGTTGCTTTGTATCTGCCTTCTGGACATGCACATGGTAGGCATGTCGTGAGCAGAGCTGGCTGGAGTCAGGGGTCAGACTAGATGGCCTGGGAGACCTCTTCTGACTCGCTCTGTTTCTATGTTTCTCAATTTATTAATTTACCAATTTACCATCTAGTTATTTATCTGATTTATTTTAAATTACTTTTAATTATACTTTTAGTTGCTTATTAATAACAATAGTGATTTTAGTGACTAATAATAGTGACTAATAACAGTATTATTACTGTTTTACTATATTTTTGTTTTATTGTGGCTCTGACTGTATGCAAGCAGCCTGGATTTATGGATAAATCAAATAAATAACAAATAAGTCTCCTCCACCACATTTATGACAAGCTCTATTAGTGTTAAGAAATTCTCCCCTGCCCCACGAACAAATAGCTCACCCATTGTTAGATTGCTCTGTGGTAAGAAGTTTACCTCTCTATTCTCATGGGAATGTCTTCCTCTTTTCCAAATCTTTTAAAACTATTTTCACACGATACAATAAAAAGGAAATATATGGAAGAAAAGGAAGCCAAGGGTCAATCCACAAATATAGCAAGTAATATCGACATTTAAACACATTCATAAAAAGCAAAAATCTCCATCAGCCACAGTCCCATCCAGTCTATTCAATTCACAATCAAAATCTGTCCAGTCTATAAAATTTGCTATAAATTATAACATAGCTTTGGTTTTAAAATATGGATCACTGACATTTGTAAAAATTATATTTTCTTCAAGAGTTAATTAAATTGTTCGTAATAAGCTTTCCATCCCAGAGTAAATTCTTTATCTGGTCTTCTAATAATTTAATTAGTTAACTTAGTTCCCGCTGCATACTCAGCTAGCTAGTTTTTCCAGTTTTGGACAGCCAGACCATCTTCCACTTTCCGCTTTGCAACAGGTTTTACTCTTGCCATTGTTACCATATGTTTAAATATCCCTATCATAATTTTTGGGAAAGCCTCTGGTATAAACATCAGTAACAAATTCTTGGCATTCATGGGAAAGTCAATTTGGAGTATTTTCTGCATTCCCTTATGTATCTGCTTCCAGAAGCTTTTAATTTTATCATATCTATCACTTTAAATTTCCAACGTTTTCTGTTATACTTCTTGTCCAATTGCTGTGTATCTTTCGGGATAATATACCACCAAAAGCGCATCTCATACCAACTTCCCCCTGAGAATTTCTTTTTATTCAAAAATTCCCACCTTTCCCCACCTCTACCCCAAGCCCCCACTTTCCAAAACTCTCTCCCAACACACAAACCAGACTGACATACAAAACTTGCGGTAACATGAAATTCTGTAAGCCGAATTGGAAATTTGCCTTCGAAGCTTTGCACTGGAATGTTAATCGCTGCCAGAATTTTACCTTGTATTTTATCATGCTCTGCGCTGTTGCAGCCCTCCCTGCCAGCCTGGAACTCAGTTCCTGGGTGGTACAGGATCAGCAGCAAGAATGTTATCGGCACGAAAGGCTGTGTAGGGAGAACCCGGATGGCTTTTTAAATCCCCAGCTGTTTGCTTACCGAGGGTCCAGCTGGTCGCCCTGGATCCTGCACTGAGCACGTTAAGGGCTCCAAGTCTCTTTTCACCTGCCTGCCCTCCCTCCCTCCCTCCCTCCCTTGCTCTGCCCCCACCCCATCTCTGGAGCCAGTAGCAGCAGGTGACAAAAATCCGGTAGGAAATGCTGAGCTTGACAAATGTCCTGCATTCATCGCAGGGTTGGCCCGCCACAGGCAGAGCAGAGGAGAGGTTTAGGAGCACGGTTTATTCTCATTGCCGTTTTGGGGGGTGGGGGGGGGAAGTGACCAGCTCCCTTTCAGTTTGCTTCTGAGAAGCCCTCCTCCAAATTCAAACCCCCTTCAAAAGAGCACAGTTCTTGCCCGGTGCCGAAATGAAAGTAGACTTTATGGTTTAAATTGCGAACCATCCAGAGTGTTTGCATTTCATTCCTGGGTCACCCAAGAGTTTGGTCCACAATGCTTTATGCAACACAATAAAACGCAAAACCGAATGCAATGAGACAATATCCAGTTTCAGTACAAAATCTAAACAATACTTTAAAAAAATCGAAGCAGCTCCTGGCATGCCCTCCATAACGCCTGGTCCCCCCGAGCTGCAGCTTCACCCTCGCTCATGAGATTTCTGGGGTGGGAGAAAGCAGAACGGCTCGCCCTCGGTGGAAGGTAGGATGGCATCTCTCCGCGAAGCAGCGCCTCCATCTACCTGGCTGCATGGCAATGCGATGACTAATTTTATGCGCAAACACGTAAAAACGAGCTCTCCTTAAATGTTAGGAACACACTAGAAGGAACATGGCGGAAAGGGAGAGCCTGGCCTGGGTGTTGCTTAGGGCTTAAGACTGCCAGTTCTACTCGTCCAAGGCTTCATTTGCACAAAAGGGCTCATTCCCTGAGGCTGGACTGTCAGGCAGCAAAGCCACCAGGCAGGTTCAAATCTCCAGCATCCCTGACTGCAAAGATGGAATTCCCCAACTAGGAATTCCCCAACAAGCCAGGGTGAATCTGCATTTTAATTTGCACTATTTTGTATTTATTGTTTATTTATTGTACTGTATGTAAGCTGTCCCGAGGCTCTTGCGATGGGATGGGATACAAAAATCCTAAATAAATAAACTAGTTTAACTAGTTTAACCCACAGTCCGCTCCAGTAACTTCTCCTTGGGAGCCCTCCCAGCTACGTTTAGAGGTTACAGAGTGAGTCTCTGTCCTCAGGTTCTGGAAAGTTATTTTTTGCCCTGTTTCACACCCAGAGAGAGATATCTATTTTCCTGGCTGCTTTTAGGAAGGGTGTGTGTCGGATCCCAGGAATATGCATTACGGCAACAGCAGGTTCAAGCAGAATGTCTCCAGTGGTTGCTACGACATAAATCACGGATGTACAACGTGTTCTAGATCCTGCGTTGTGTTTGCAAAAAGGCAATAAATAAAGCACTTGGCACCAGCAGCTCCTAGGATTAGCTTAGTTTCAGGCATAATGTCATGTTTATCCTAGCCTTGATTTATGTTTTCTCTACACTAGTTCCTTGATATCCCTGGCAGCCTCTGGTGCCTCCAAGCGGGTGTTGGCCCGGCCGGCACTGCTCAGTGTTAAGCTGCCCGATTGCCTTCTGTTTCCTTCCATTTGTGCCTCGCATGGGATCATACTTCACGTACTGCAAGCTCTCAGGTGACTTCGTCATCGGGGCCCGCCTTGCAAAATCAAGCAAAGTCAAGCCTTTCCCCTTTCTCTCCATACTCTGGACTATATTTATGCTGTGTTCTCAAAACTGGGCTTCTGCTTAGGAGACCCGGAAACAGGGGATCTGGCCCAGAAAAGTTTGCATTCGGCCTTGGAGAGAAAACCAGCCT